TATAAATACCGACTCTCAAGTGCTGGATTAAAGTCTCGTATGAAGTGAATTAAATAGGATTTTGTTGTTTAATAACGAAAACTTTTATTTATTTGAAATTAATTAGTATATTACAAATGAATTTTATTATAATTTAATAATAATTGTGATAAATATTAAGCGTATATAATTTGTGTGACTTATGTTTAAGCAAGGGTATTTGGCATTCAGTTGAGAATCTAATCATTATTATTATGTGTTTTTGTTTTGTTGGCTAAATTATACAACAAATCGACTGTAAAATTGCCCTGAAGTTTGGGGAGTTTTTACATAATAGCTTAAGTATACCAATACAATAGTGTATAGTATATTGTAATATAAAAAACAATGAACTAATAAAAAAGTTGTTGCAAATTCAATAAGAAATATATGAGACATAAAATCATTGTTTTAGTTGAGCATTGAATGTGTGGTTAATAAGTATAATATATAAGTGTATACAATATAAAGAGAGATTAGAAATGAAAAATATCACTAATTATTTGGTGTCAAAATATTTTTCATATAGTTTTGACCGAAAATAAGCCGAGAAATTGACTTGAATTCAAAAAATTCATTCATTTTTTGTAGTCATAAATAATCACAATTCAAAATTCCTATATATTATGCTTAAAACAACATAATTATGAAAAAACAGGAAAATTTTCAATATTTCTCACGTCTTATGGAAATCTCATTCACTTATTATTCAATCACCAGAAAAAAAATCGCAAAACATTTCACTTTCGCTAAACATTTCATTCATTGAATCGTCAAATATTTATACATTAAATACAATAATAAAAACTAGTCTATGGTTTAGAAGTTGAGTTCAATATAGTAATGGAAACACCGCTCAAAGCTTACGTTAAGATAAGATATAATTGACTAAAAATTTACTTTTTTCTCTCTCTTAATGCATTTAACAGTCGTTTATATAGTATCCACAAAAAAAATCTGTCATAAAATTTCAGAGACATAACTATCAGTAAGTCATTCAAAAATGTTTATACAATGAGTGCAATAAATTCACAGTTGTTTAGCAGCGCAAAGAAATTTGTCAATAAAATCGATAGCAATAGTACTGTAAGAATGTGTGTCGAGATACTGTATATTAGTTGTGAAAATTCAACTAACCTTTCGATACAAAGTAATGGCTTTTCAACAGTTTAAATAAAACAAATAAAATTTCTTAACTATAAATACAATTTGAATAAAAACTAAATATAATAAATAGGTTTTTGAGTGGTATGGCTGTCTGGGTGGGGAAGACATAACTATCAGTAAGTCATTCAAAAATGTTTATACAATGAGTGCAATAAATTCACAGTTGTTTAGCAGCGCAAAGAAATTTGTCAATAAAATCGATAGCAATAGTACTGTAAGAATGTGTGTCAATGGCTATGTTTCATTACCGAAAAGTTGTCAAATTTATTTTGTTTATTTTAAAGAATTGATATTTATGTTAAACTTATTTTTGATTTATATTATTTATCCAAAAACTCACCATACCGACAGACCCACCCCGTCAGGGAGGGTAATCCTACTGTGGATGATCGTAGATGTGATTGCCTTTCATCATCGATGGCTGCGGTAGGGGTCGTTCCCAAGGCTTCTGAAACAAAAGTAAATCAATCAAAACGTTGGTTACACTTAAGTACAAATAGTTGTCATATAAAGGGAAACAAGTAATTCATAAAAATTCATTTGTTGTTTGCATTTGACATTTTTGATATATGGATTATGATATGCTATGTATATAGGGGTTTAAGGCATTAATGGTATGAAGAATTAATTTCAATATAAGCGCTGTTTATATGTATTTATTATATAAGCGACTGATTTAATGATTAATGGATTGGAAAAGTATTAGATAAGTGGAGAGAGAGAGAGAGAGAGAGGAGAGAGAGAGAATATATTACTTGAGATCCATCGCCACATCCCATAGGCATCGTCGCATAGGGTGTCGGGTATGCATTGCCCGCCTCCGTCATCATCAGCGGCTTACCACTGGTCTTATCGAAGTCCATATAACGGGGTGTCGTTCCCATATGGCCGGCGAACTGCTTGTGAAGGGTCGCGCTATCCATTATAACTGCAGTTTTAAAAAGTTTTTTAATTAAAACTCAATTGTATTAGTGAAGTGATGTATGGAGTGGTATGGTGTGGACTACTCACAGCCTTCAGCGGCGGCTCGACTCCTGTTTATCCTTCGGACGCAAACAAACGCCGATATAATGACAATAATAACAATGACTGCCGCAGACAATAGCGGTATTGTGAACGACGGCTGCAGATAATAGGGGCCGTCGTTGAAGAATTGGTTGAATATCTCACTTTGAAGTACTTTTATATCTGTTTTGCAATTAGATTTGCACACAAAACAAAAGGTTTCCAATTAATTAAATGCTATTCAATAGGCGTTTACGCAGTGCTTATGCGATAGACAATAGAAATTGTTTTGTGAAGTGACAAATTCTGCAAATTATTGATTTTAGTTTACTGTTAACAGTAGTGTCACAAATATTTTATGTAACATTTAAAAGCTTTAATTAGCATTTAATAACAAATAAAATCATTTAGAAAAATATTTGTTCAAATTTGTTATGCAATAGCTATTATAATATAATAATTATACATAGTGCTAATTTTAAAAATTATTTTCGCTGATTAATTAATCTATGTAAAAATATTTAAATAATAAAACAAAACTGTTGTACACATACCTCCCTCCGTACGGGTGACCACTATATTACTCGGATCGCTGAACCCGTATCTGTTGAGGGCAGTGATGAATACCCTATACTGAACGCCGGCCTCAAGATTTTGCAGGACATAGGTATATGAGGCCAATGTATTCCCATCGGACATAGGGGTGGGTGTCGTCAACTGAGTCAACGGTATTTCCTTCCACTTGGGCTCCCCTACCTATACTGAACGCCGGCCTCAAGATTTTGCAGGACATAGGTATATGAGGCCAATGTATTCCCATCGGACATAGGGGTGGGTGTCGTCAACTGAGTCAACGGTATTTCCTTCCACTTGGGCTCCCCTTCCCGTTGGTAGTGAATCGTATAGCTATTGGTCGGGGTTTGGGTTTCTCGCAGATCTTTCTGATGCCAGCGCACAGTAATGGACGTCTCGGTCGACTCGATGGCGTTGAGCTGTTGAGCCGGCGGTAGGTCTCCATCGTATGTGTGGACAAGCATTTCGTGAGACTGGGGTCCACTGCCCGCCGAATTGTAGGCCTTCACGACAATCGCGTATTCATTGCCTTTCAGTAAGTCTCGCAAAAAGTATTCATAAGTTTCCGTTTCGGGGTTTTTGCCGTTTTGTACCGGTTTTGACTCAACCAGTTTCAGAGTGAAGGGATGGCTACTCTCCCGTGCTTTACGATACCCGACGTAAAAGCCTTTGATAACACCGTTCCAGTGCTCTTTAGTAGGCGCTCTCCACGTGACCCGTATAGTCGTCGGCCCTTTGCCCTCAACGGCGATGTCGTTGGGCGGGGCGGAGGGCTCCTCCTCGCCGGTAACGAAGGTGACGGTGTCTGCGGCCTCACCCCTCCCGACCTCGTTCTCGCCGACGACAGTCATCTCGTAGGACAGGCCAGGGCTGAGGTCTTTGATGAGTGCCGTGGTCTGGGAACTGGTGACTGTGAACTCATGGAGTCGATGCGGTGCGCTCTGATGTCGCCAATACTGGATCGTGTATTTCATGATCGGAGAGTTGCCTGAATAGGGGGCCGACCACACGATACTAGCCGTTCGGGACCAGACCTCCTTCACGTGAACGTTCATCGGTGGGCCGGGTACCTCTGTGAGGGCACAGGTATTTAAAACAATTTTCTATCTATTACCGTAACAAACTATATGATACATACCGAGCACAACCAGTTTGATAGTGCGCTCGTCCTTCCCGTGTGTGTTCTCGGCCTCACATTTATATATCGATCCGTCAGTCCTTTGGGTGGTTCTCAACAACAGCTCCGACACGAGACCGAAGTCTGTCGTCTCCTCAAAGATTTCATAACTGTTTTCAATGCAAGAATTTTAATAGTAATCGAGTGTTTATAGGAATATTCTGTATTGACTAACGTATGAGAGCCTAGTTTCTCGAGTTTGATGCTATCTTTAGTCCATTTGATAGCCAGGGGTTGATCTCCGGAAACATTACACTTGAGTCGAGCGCTCTCTCCCTTCTTCACTTGAATTAAACTATACTTTTCGTCAAACTTTGCCGGAACTGGAGGTCAGACACAGTATGTTATCAAACCGTTCATGAATTTATTAGATAATAAAATATAGGGAATTGTTTTAAGCATAAAATGTGAGCCAATTTTGAATAAGTAATACATTTTACCCGCAATTCTGATTGAAATCACTTTTTTCAATACAATCTTATTATTGACATCAAAGACAAGACATTCATAAGAACCAGAATCTAATGACTGAATGTTTGCAAACTTCACAACATTTCCATTCATTTCCTTAATTTTATTATTTCCTGAGATTTTCCTCCAAATAATCCGTGGTTTCGGTGAAAGACAAGACATTCATAAGAACCAGAATCTAATGACTGAATGTTTGCAAACTTCACAACATTTCCATTCATTTCCTTAATTTTATTATTTCCTGAGATTTTCCTCCAAATAATCCGCGGTTTCGGTGATCCGTCGGCCGAGCACTCTATGACCACATTATCCCCAACTCTTGCACTCGTATTCTTGGGCTCATTCATCCATTTCGAGGGCACAAACACTTCCAATCGGATTGAATAGGAATCGCTTCCGAAGGCATTCCTCACAAAACATGAATAATTGCCAACACTTTCACTCTTTATGTCATTTATAATGAGTGAAGAAATAGCTTCCGATTCATCAGATTTTATGGTAATTCCGTTCCGAGAGTGAGATAATTGTTGACCATTTCTGGTCCAGATAAAGGATATGGGAGGTGTACCAGATTGTATGGTACAAGTGGATCTGTATGTTGATCCTTGTGTAATTGGTTTATCAGGTTGGAAAATAGGTGTAATCTTTGGTGGTTCTGAACCAGTCATATAATTAGCATATTATTTAACTATAAGGTTTATATGACTTACCTGAGCTCTCAATGAACTTGAACACAATTATCAGAATTAAATGTTTTAAAGCAAACATTTTAAAGGAATATAATATTACTGTTTTGAAATATTCATTCAGTACTCAAATAATGGCTAAAATACGAGTAAAAGCAAGCATTGGCTGCAAAGGCGACACATTTTGCTCAACAATTCAATGATATATTTAAGACATAACTCACCGCTAAAGAAGACATAAGGCATTCCTCACAAAACATGAATAATTGCCAACACTTTCACTCTTTATGTCATTTATAATGAGTGAAGAAATAGCTTCCGATTCATCAGATTTTATGGTAATTCCGTTCCGAGAGTGAGATAATTGTTGACCATCTTTGGTCCATTTGAAGGTTATGGGAGGAGTTCCTGATTGTATAGTACAAATGGATCTGTATGTGGATCCTTGTGTAAGAGGTTTATCCGGTTGATAAAAAGGTATTATCCTCGGTGGTTCTGAACCAGTCATAATTATTAGCATATTATTTAACTATAAGGTTTGTATGACTTACCTGAGCTCTCAATTAACTTGAACACAATTATCAGAATTAAATGTTTTAAAGTAAACATTTTAAAGGAATATAATATTACTGTTTTGATATATTCATTCAGTACTCAAATAATGGCTAAAATACGAGTAAAAGCAAGCATTGGCTGCAAAGGCGACACATTTTGCTCAACAATTCAATGATATATTTAAGACATAACTCACCGCTAAAGAAGACATTAATTGATTTCTTCAGTGAGTCTCCGATACCATTGTCTGCAATGCACTCATAATTCTCACTACTTCCGGATCGGAAGTTTGACAAATTTAGGACTTCTCCTTGAGTTACCTTTCCTGTTAAATGTCCACAAAATTAATTATTTCATAAAATATCTCAGTTGTTAAACTACAATACCTTTAGAACTAATCCATTTGACGGTAGGTTTAGGCAAAGGTAGCCGTTATGTGAGCTGGTGGTGTAGTAGCGGACGAAAGTGGGCTTATAGGACGCCAAGGAAGTCGGTTCAGCCCCCTTGACGAGGTCAATAGGAGATAATGTTTTCATTAGTATTTGTGTGATTCGTGTGATGAATACCTTTGACGTTAAGGACAACCGTTTGAGAGTCAGTGCCGTAAGTATTGCTAACAAAACACGAATAGTTCGCGGAATCGCTTCTCTCGACAGAAGCTATCGATAGGATCGACAACTCGTCGGACGTCTCGACCTTATAATTGGGGTTTGATTTCACATCTAATTTATGGCCGTTTTTGGACCACTTAAACACCAAAGGTGTCGTTCCCTTTTGAATGGAGCAAAATGTACGGAATGTTGTTCCTTCAGTTTGGGTTATCATGTAATTTGGTATATAAGACAACTTCGGGGCTAAAAAATATTAATCCTATAAAACTTCAGGCGATTTGCATAAAAATATATACCTATTCCCGCGGATACTGATTGAAAATACACAAAAACTATGACAAACTTTAAAAATAAATACATTTTCCACTGAAATAATGGCCGACTATATAAATGATTATTTCTCGACTCCAAGAACTTATATATTGGACACACATTGCGCCACATTTTGCTCGAGATTTAATATATTTTGCTTAAAAATAACTTTAGTTTCCTGTCAATACGTTTTTATGCGAAGTGATTCATATAATGTTTGCAATACTTATGACACATTAGTTTAAAAATCAATAAATTATAGAATATTATATAACTTATCATAAATATTAAAAATAAAAATATAACTAAATTCATAAACTTATAATCCAATCAAACCTTTAATGTACAGAATAGTGGTCTGTATATCAGACCCGAAAGCATTGCTCGCAATACACGAATAGTTCCCGAAATCATTTGTATCGAGATTTCTGAGTATTAAATGCGAGGAATCGTCTAAAGCGTCGATTCTGTGACTCGACTGTAGATTACTTTCTAATTGTAATCCATTTCTAAACCATTTATAAAACACGGGTTTAGTGCCGACTATGGACTGACACATAAACCGAAATGAGGAGCCCTTTGATAATTCAATCTTTGACTGAAACGGATATATTTTGGGCGCATCTGAGATGACAGGCAGTGGTATATAATCAATGAATTAGTGGCAAAATAATGTATCATGGTAGCTCTGTAATTACATACCATTACACGCTATTGACTCAAATTTGACGCAACAAATTAACACGAAAATTACAATTTTACTGAAAATCATGTTTTTTAAACAAACTGTGTGTATGTCTTGACTCACACAACGGATGTAAACAAATAATTATCTCAAAAATCAGGACAAACTCAGTGGTGAAGAAGTTTTCGTAGTGTTAGTGACACATAAAGCGCCACATTTTGTATGAGAAATAATGTGTGTATTCATTGGCGAAGCAATTCATGCACTCATTGAACGGAATTATTTAAAATCCCTTTCCCTTTAAAATTTAAATAGACTTAATCTCCCCTGGTTAATACACTTAACGTACGAGTTTATTAGAGATTAAGTATTAATTAAGTAAATGTGACAGGTGTGTGACCCTGTTTATAGACATTTAAATCAGGTTTTAAATAATGAAGTGAAATGCACAGTAAACGTGAAAGTTTTCACTACTTATCAACAGATATACACATAAATCCGATTATCAAGAGTTAAAATTAAATCCTTTTAAATACTTTCTCTCACCACTAAAAACAAATGATGAAATGACTTGAAATAAAACAGATTTACTTTCAGATCTATTTCTCGCTATTGATTTAATATCAAAAAAGAGTCTTTTTTCGGCACATTTGATGATTGTATCGATTTTTTTGTTAACTTTTCTTTACACACATTATATTTATTTGATTTGCAGAAATCAATTGATTATTTGACTGCAAAAACCTTTTCAATCACTGCTATAACCCAAAGGGATAAACATTTTTTTATCACAGAATTTAATGCAATTTGCAAAAAAAGTATACTTTTTTAGGATTGAAATAAAAAACATATGAATAAATAATATCAATGAATACCTTCGACGGTGAGGACAACGAACTGGGAATCAGTTCCGAAGGCATTCCTCACAAGACACGAGTAATTGGCCGCATCTGTCGATACTATCGACGGATATCATTCGCAGCTTTTAGACAGTTTTAATAGCTAAACTACCAAGTGAACTCCCAGGCTAACAGAGTTAACCACCGGTAGAGACTTGGTGAGCTTCTTCTTACCTAAGTTTGGGAAGACTTGCCTTCAGAACTGTTGGAAATACGAGCCCTCAGTCTGTCTCTTATGCGACAAATGGGGCCCTAATTTGGGAACTGTTTTGCGGAAAACTTTTCTAATTATAAATGAGTTTTACATTTAATTAGTGCTGAGAAATACCTGACAATTCATTTGTGTATAAATATTTCACACAACATATGAACACTAGAAATATATAGAAACTGTTGGCAGACATCATGAATAGTAAATGAGAGATACTTTGAGAGACAACCGATGGCTGATATGGTGTGAGCACTCAATAGTAGGCTATTATATGACAAAACGCGAGTCAAAGACCAGAGCATTGCGCCACACATTGAATGGCAAACAATTTGTGATTATATTTGTGGCGGTTATCGGAAAAGTTTTTTACAGCAAAAAAAGTATATAAAAAAGTTTCCGAATATAACACAAAACATAGCGTTATATTGAGGGCGAGATTTGAGCGAAAAAGACATTATGTTATCATTAAATAGCAGTAATTATTATAAACAAAAAGAGCTATTCATAGCAATAAATGCAATAAATCTTGCGCTTGAATACAGAAGTCTTATTATATGTGTTTTATAATTACCATAAAATAAACACTTTTTTGCCAATAAATTAGCGTAAAAAACTTTTTTAAACAACATTTTTTGCTCGCTTTAAATATTAACATATATTTAATGAGATAAGAGGGGAATGTCGTGTGTTTTTACAATGAAGTGGTGATGGTTTGTATCATACCTTTCACAGTAATCAGAATATTCTGGGAATCACTACCGATACCATTGCTGACTAAACACTTGTAATATCCGGCATCCCTTCTGTCAATGTTTGCGATGATGAGAGTGGAGGACCTGTTCTGTGTCTCAACCCGATGCCGATGATTGACAGCGCCGGTAGCTAATGGCTGTCCGTTAACGAGCCACTCGAACAGGAATGGCACCGACCCTTCCTCGGCGGCACACATTTGCTGGAAATACGAGTTCTCAGTAATACTTCTCTCATTGAAAAATGGAGATAATTTTGGGGCTATTTGTGTGACACAAAAGGAGTAGAAAAAAAAAGGTAATTGTGTTTAGAAAACGACCCAAAAATTTCATAAACACATTATGCAGTCGTTTGTCATACCTTTACTGTCAGATAGTGTTTGTCGGATCATAAATAAAACACATATAAACTGTTTGTTTAAATACATATCGGAGTGAATATTATTATATATTATGTGCGGAATGGGATGCGACAGACACTGGGGAGTAGGAGTGCATCACTATATTATTATGGCTGACATTAAAAATGTATTTTTTCTCTCAGTTTTCTCTCAAAAGGCTACAAATTATGGGAAATATTTTTATTTAAGTGACAGAATATACTGCGCCACACATTGAATCAGAAACAATTTGATGGCAATAAGGCCTTTTGGGCGCCTGTATCTGAAAATGAATGATATATTTCCGTCATATAAGCATCGATTAAACCATTTACACCGCAAACACACATATTCTTAAATATCATATAAATTAATATTTATCTCTACAGAGAAATAGCATTTCATTACTTTTAAAAGTAAATATTATGTCACACATTAAGTAAACTTTAAAATAAATTTGTAACACATTTGCAATAAAAACTCGTAAAAACTTTATACGAGAAAACTCATTTGATTTGATAGTTTAAAAAAGTAATATGAGATATGTCATTTAATGGTGCATTAAATACCTTCGACAGTCAATAAGACTGTTTGTGAATCCCTTCCCAACGTATTGCTCGCAAAACAACTGTAATTTCCGGAATCGCTTCCCAAAAGGCTTTGTATCGAAAGTGTGGAAAAACTTTCATAATTATCGATCTTATAGCGAGTGGCAGCGCCGGTAGCTTTGAGTAACTGTCCATTTTTGTACCACTCGTAAGCCAGTGGTTGTGAACCGCTCTCAACCGTACAGAATATTTTCAGAATTGAATTCTGGGTTTGATTTTTGTGTTTGAGCACAGGTGCCAATTTGGGGGCTAACCATCAAATTTAATAATTATGTGCTTCATTAGTACATAATTTTTTGAGCAAGCTTAATGATTAAATACCTGAGCTCTCGATCGACAGAATTAAATTTAGAGATAATATGAAAACAAATGGATATAATAGATATGTGACACACATTGTGAACGAGTGGTAAGTAATAGCCAACTAATGACTGACATTAGATTTCTGGCTAAGAATGAGTGCTTTTATTAATACAAACAATGAGTTTGTTTTGTGGTATATATTGCGCCACATATTGTGTCACACAATCAATTTGCTTAATATAAGACTAATACAAGTTGGACTCAAAGTTTGATAATTATTTGTCAATTCAATGATCACACAGACATTATGTTTCCAAATATAAAACAAAACTCAACAGAATATTCTTGAAATTTTTTTATAGGTATGTAATATATGTTTCATAAATTATAATAATATTTGTTTAATCATACCTTTAATATTAAGCAAAACATTTTGCGAGTCGGATCCGAAAGCATTTTTCACAAAACAGCTATAATTTCCTGAATCGTGTTTCCCAATTTGTGTGATTGTTAACTTGGAAAACATATCAAAATTGTCAATTTTATAGTTGACATCAGGACTGGCTTTAAGTGTCTGTCCATTTCGGGACCACTCGAAAAACACGGGTAAAGAACCCGACTCTACGGCACAAAACACTTGGAATAGGGATCCTATGGATAGGCTT